GGTCTGTAATTTTCATCATAGGTACACTTCAACTGTGAGAGACAGACTTTGAAAAAAAATCCAGGAATTCACATTGTAGGATTTTTAAAGAATGTATTTGTAAATCATGGTGGAAAATAAGTTTTTGGTCACTTCAAACAAGGAAGATCTCTGGCTCTCACAGACCTGTAACTTCTTCTTTAAGAAGCTCTTCTGTCCTCCACTCGTTACCTGTATTAATGGCTCCTGTTTGAACTCGTTATCTGTATAAAAGACACCTGTCCACAGCCTCAAACAGTCAGACTCCAAACTCCACTATGGCCAAGACCAAAGAGCTGTCGAAGGACACCAGGAAAAGAATTGTAGACCTGCACCAGACTGGGAAGAGTGAATCTACAATAGGCAAGCAGATTGGTGTGAACAAATCAACTGTGGGAGCAATTATCAGAAAATGGAAGACATAAAAAACCACTGATAATCTCCCTCGATCTGGGGCTCCACGCAAGATCTCATCCTGTGGGGTCAAAATGATCATGAGAACGGTGATCAAAAATCCCAGAACCACACGGGGGGACCTGGTGAATGACCTGCAGAGAGCTTGGACCAAAGTAACAAAGGTTACCATCAGTAACACACTACGACGACAGGGAATCAACTCCTGCAGTGCCAGACGTGTCCCCTGCTGAAGCCAGTGCATGTCCAGGCCCGTCTGAAGTTTGCCAGAGAGCACATGGATGATACAGCAGAGGATTGGGAGAATGTCATGTGGTCAGATGAAACCAAAGTAGAACTGTTTGGTATAAACTCAACTTGTGGTGTTTGGAGGAAGAAGAATACTGAGTTGCATCCCAAGAACACCATACCTACTGTGAAGCATGGGGGTGGAAACGTCATGCTTTGGGGCTGTTTTTCTGCTAAGGGGACAGGACGACTCATCCGTGTTAAGGAAAGAATGAATGGGGCCATGTATCGTGAGATTTTGAGCCAAAACCTCCTTCCATCAGTGAGAACTTTGAAGATTAAACGTGGCTGGGTCTTCCAGCATGACAATGATCCCAAACACACCGCCCGGGCCACGAAGGAGTGGCTCCGTAAGAAGCATTTGAAAGTCCTGGAGTGGCCTAGCCAGTCTCCAGACCTCAACCCCATTGATAATCTGTGGAGGGAGTTGAAAGTCTGTGTTGTTCGGCGACAGCCCCAAGACATCACTGCTCTCTAGAAGATCTGCGTGGAGGAATGGGCCAAAATACCAGCTATTGTGTGTGCAAACCTGGTTAAAGACCTATAGTAATTGTTTGACCTCTGTTATTGCCAACAAAGGTTATATTACAAAGTATTGAGTTGAATTTTTTTTATTGTTTTTTGTTATTTTTGTTGACCAAATACTTATTTTAAACCATAATTTACAAATACATTCTTTAAAAATCCTACAATGTGAATTCCTGGATTTTTTTTTCACATTCTGTCTCTCACAGTTTAAGTTTACCTATGATGAAAATTACAGACCTCTGTCATTATTTTAAGTGGGAGAACTTGCACAATCGGTGGCTGACTAAATACTTTTTTGCCCCACTGTATGTACAGTACAGACCAAAAGTTTGGACACACCTTTTCATTAAAGATTTTTTTTATTTCATGATTATGAAAATTGTAGATTCACACTGAAGGTATCAAAACTGTGAATTCACCCAGATGGAATTATGAACATACTAAAAAAAAAGTGTGAAACAACTGAACATATGTCTTATATTCTAGGTTCTTCAAAGTAGCACCTTTTGCTCTGATTACTGCTTCACACACTCTTGGCATTCTCATGATGAGCTTCAAGAGGTAGTGACCTGAAATGGTCTGAGTTCCCACAGATGCTTAGCTCCTGTTGGCCCGTTCCCTTTCACTCTGTGGTCCAGCCCCAAAACCATCTGGATTGGGTTCAGGTCCGGACCGTCCGGTGACTGGAGGCCGGGTCATCTGGCCCAGCACCATCACTCTCCTTATTGGTCAAACAGCCCTTACACAGCCTGGGTGTGAATCCACAGTCAATATTCATGAAAAGAAAGGACACTCATTGAATGAGAAAGTGTGTTCAAACTTTTGGTCTGTACTGTATTTGTATATGTATTTTATAAAATTTTCAGGGATAAGAATTTTCCATCTAGCAGACCCAGACCCTCGTGTGAAGCTCAGTGTACTACAAGGGTCTCGCGAGCGTCAGGCTAGAAAACACGTTCTTCCATCGGAGAATGGGAGGCTATTTTTTGAACAAATGTACTGGCTTGGTACTACAGCATACAGTGGGGCAAAAAAGTAGTTAGTCAGCCACCAATTGTGCAAGTTCACCCACTTAAATAGATGAGGGATGTAGCCTGTAATTTTCATCATAGGTATACCTCAACTAAGAATGGGCGGCACGGTGGCTGAGTGGATAGCATTCTCGCCGCTCAGCAAGAAGGTCCTGGGTTTGAATTCCGGTCATAAAGGATGCATGTTCTCCCCGTTCTTGCGTAGGTTTCCTCTGGGTACTCCGGTTTGCCCTAACCACTAAAAACATGTACACTATGTTAAATCCTCCAGCCCTAGTAGTCCTGACCAAGCCAAGCATCAACATCTGGAGATGGGTTCCCGGGCGCTGTTACTACGCCAACCACTGCTCCTGACGTAAGGTTTAGCGGCATCAGGATGGGTCAAATGCAGAGGAGGAATTGCCCTACGGGGATCAATAAAGTGCACCTTTAAAGAATTGTTTTGCCATACTTGATGACCACAGTAGCTTTGAACATGTCTTTTGTTGACTGCCTCAATATGTAAGGCATCTATGGAAACTATTGTAAGATTTTAGATTTGCAAATACCCCATTGATAAGAATTGTGTTTATTATGGGGTGAGTTTGTAAGTCTGTGTTTGTTTTTTTTTGGACAGTAGGGTGTTTTTTAGTTTTAGTTAGCACATTACAGAACATCTGAGTAGCACTGAAACCACATGTCAGTAAAATAAAAGCTGTTGTTTGGTGTTTCTGCATTGATGTTTGAAACAGGTCTTTTTCTTTTTGATCCAAAGGTTGTTTTTGAGCTATAAACTATTAGTTGCGGATTAAGATTCAGATATCCTTTTAGTTGTCTCACAGTGGGGAAATTTCAGTGTTGCATCACAAGTTATAGACCGGTAGGAAAGAGGAGCACACGGCACAAGATAATGTGCAAGTGTGTTGATATTTGTTTCTATGAAAAAGATATAAAGTGTATTTGTGAGGCGTTTTGGAAAGTCTGAGGCCAGCCCTGTAGGTTACTGTCAATAAGAAACAAATAAAAATAGGAAGTTATAATATTTACTTAAAATTACAAATTATCTTTATTTATTTGGACATAAACAATATCTTTTGCCTTTCATTTTTATAGGCAAAATTGTGAGAGGGAAGGGGTTTAAAATGGTTTCTGGAGCTTTGTGATAGTGCTTTTTTCAGTTGAATTTAATTAAATTGAATTGATCTTAATATAGGCATAAAACCTTTACTCCAAGTGTCCATACGACTCACTACCTAGTTTGTTTGGTAGCCTTTTTTTAAATTCTTGTTCGACACAGGCATGCAATGTAATGTGCAATTTTCAGATGTAATGTGCAATTTGCTTTTTGTACCATGAGGGACCCAGAGATTACCAGCCCTAGTGTCCATCTCCTAATATGTAAAGTCTGGCACATGAGGAACCTTGATCTACAAACAGAAATAGAACAGAAGAAAGTGAAATGGTTTCTCCGTTGCTCGCAGTATATTGTGTGTGTTTTGGAAGCAGAAAGTGCTTATGGCCACACTCCTGACATTTCCTCTGCACTTGTGTAAGAAGCTGATGACAAGGTTGCACTTGCTCTTGCCTCTCCCTTGGCTGTCTTCAATACGTGTAAGAAGAGCAAAAGCAGCCCTGTACAGTAGCTTTATCTGCTTTTTCGCTGAGCTCTGTGGGTGCTATTGCTGCCTAAAAATGCCAACAGAGAACACTGTGAAGACTATTGAGGCTTTGAACACTGTGAAGACTTTGGCAATAATCCCAGGCTGCAAATGCCGGGTGTCCTTCAGGGCCTGTTTTAATCCCATAAAAATGCCTACTGTCTGGTGTGAATGGGGAGTCTGGGACAACCATTATTAAAAACTTGAACTTTACAACGCTGAAACAATTTTGGGTTGAGGAGGCTACATTTAGTTAAACTTTTGCTACTTGGCGGTTCAAAACTGTGGTTGTTCTCTTGACATAAATTAGTAATTTGGATTGTATGTAATAGCTCCTATTATTATTATTATTATTATTATTCTTATAACCCCTTATATGCAGCTTGCTTTGTTACAGTCTAATGTCAAGTATTGATCTTATTGCCCCCACTTTTTTTCATAAACTCTGACCTTAACTTTGTTTCAAAAATACATAGTTTGTCCAAAGAGAAAGTGCCTTGTTTAAATGACATTTTGCCAACAAATCAGTCTGATCACTCTCTCACGGCGCCATCTTGTTCACCTATTGACACCTATTGGCTGTGGATGTATCTAAAAGCAACTCCAGGTCTGTGACTGATGAGGGAACTATGTTGGTTACAAACTCAGAAATGTTGTTTTTTTTGTAATATGTGTCCCATTTTTATGTTGTTGCATATCACAATATGGACGCCTCCCTGGGGAGGTGTTCCGGGCACGCCCCACCGGGAGGAGGCCCTGCGGAAGACCCAGGACACGCTGGAGGGACTATGTCTCTCAGCTGGCCTGGAAAGCCTTGGGGTCCCCCCGGACGAGCTGGAGGAAGTGTGTGTGCATAGGGAAGTCTGGGCGTCTCTGCTTAGACTGCTGCCCCCGCGACCCGGCAACGGATAAAGCGGAAGAAAATGGATGGATGGATGGATGGCATATCACAATATTCCCTTTGAAGACTTGCAAATATGCTCATGAAAGCTGGCAATCTTTTTCTGTTTTTGTCACTTTTCGTCTTGTTTATTTTTGACAGCATGTTCTGTATCTTATGAGGTTTGTCCTTCTGTGTCCGCAGCTGAAGAGCACCATGCAGCACATCAACCTTCAGATCAGCCATGACACCAAAGAGTGAGTTTTCCATCTCAACCTCCTCAATCTCAACTATTTGGTTTTGATCTTAGTGAACACGCACACACAAGGGATATTCAAGCCTTCAGGTGCCAGTGTTGTGGGAAATGTGCTTGTTGTGAAACATGTTCTTCAGTCATGTACTGAGTTTCTGCTACTTTGGTGCCTGAAGGACATTTTAGTGAAAATGTCCTGAATAAGTGCAAATGACGTTAGGCCATTACTGCACATTTTAACCGTTTTAACTAATGGTCCAATAAATGTGCTCTTCTGGAGCTATCCAAAATGGCCGCAAGTGGTCCCATCCACAAGAAAATTGTGAAAAATCGCATCTGCGCATGCGTCAGCCAGGGCAAGCTCCATTCATTTGAACGAGAGACTTCAAAAATTCACAGCAAATAAACTAGAGTGGTCCAGAAACATTCACCCCCCTCAGCATTGACACACATGTGGAACGGAGCTTTGGGCCAAGAGCCCGCTTTTGGACCATCCTGTAAATACGTTTTCGAGAGGTCTGCCAATGCTATATGTTAGCATTGGCTAATTCTTATTCCGGGTCCACCCCCATCGGCCCGGGGTGGTATTGCAAGTATGTCGGCGCACGTCATTTTGGCCACTTTTGAACCGGAACCCGCCCCCACTGGGCTGGAGTAGTGTGTGGTACACTTGTGCATGAATGGTGCTGCCTTTGTAAAGCCTTCATCAAACACCCAAATCTCCTGCTGGTGTATTAAGAAAATACATTGTATTATACAAAAAGTTGACATAATGTTTTAAGAGATTCTCCTTTACATCTTCACACTTTATTCAATAATGTTTAATGTTTGTTGGAAGGTGTTGCTCATTCTGACCAGCTCACTACATTTTCCATGTATTTTTGGGAGATGTTTTTTATGGAGGAGCGTGGCTGCCAAAACAATAAATATATACAGAAATAAATAAATAAATAAATTTTAAAAAGATAAAATTTGCAAAGAAATGCATGCAATTATGAGAATAAGTGCATTTATTTCTGTATTTATTTATTTATATATTTATTTATTTATTTTTGTATTCATACGTTTATTTCTGCACTTATACATTTATTTCTCTTTCTGTATTTATATTTGTATTTATTTATTTATTTTTGTATTTATTTATTTATTTCTCTATTTATTTATTTTTGCATTTTTTTATTTATTTCTCTTTATTCATTTTTTTTTATTTATTTCTCTTTATTCATTTTTTTCTCTTTTTTTTCTGTATTTATTTATTTATTTCTGTATTTATTTCCGTATTCCTCTTAATGATATGCAAGTCATGGGGTGGGCCGGGATGCCTCTGCTGTAAGCTCATTGGTTAATCTTTTTCCTTGCTCCATAGCTTGTCCAGCCTAGGCAGTCATGTTTCATCCCTCTCTCTCTTTCTCAGGCACGGTTCCCTCTAACTGCGCTGCGCTTACGGAAATAAATAGAGAAATAAATACAGAAATAAAAAAATAAATAGAGAAATAAATAAAAAAATAGAGAAATAAATAAATAAATGCAAAAATAAAAAAATAAATAGAGAAATAAATCAATAAATACAAAAATAAATACAGAAATAGAGAAATAAATGTATACATGCAGAAATAAATATATGAATAAATACAAAAATAAATAAATAATACTGTTGGTGCGACTGTTGGTGCTACTTTGATTGACACACCTGGAGTGAGCACGCGTTTTGACGTCTCTGCTCTGTTTTACCCTTTTTAAGCCTTTTAAAGCCTTTTAAACACGTTTTTTACGGTGTATCAGTGTCTTTTGTACACTCTAGTGTTTTATTACCTTAAATGCAATGGTTCCAGAGCATCACGTCTTTTAACACAAAGACCCAATCGAAACGCGCTAGCTCGGAGGCTACCACGAGCGCACCACAGACATGGAAAGTGACACTGCAATGACCACGAACGACATTAGTCGCCTCACATTGGAGCTTCCTGAGAGGGACCGTGCCACTATTGCAGACCTCCGTAAAGAAGTCCTTCGCCTCACTGCAGAGCTGCAGGATAAACAGTCACTCGTGTCCAAACTTTTTGATGTCGCTGGCGGGCAGCACTCACGGCTTATGTCACTGAGCGCTGCATACTGTGACACTGTCGTGTGGGAGAGATCTGTCAGCTCTGGGCCCTCTTGTTCTACACCTAAGTGCCCGGTTCGGAATAAAGAGCCTGCGGACTGCGAGGAGCCATCCAGCGCCGTGGCCCATGTCCTGAGCCTGTCAAACCGCTATGCAGCCCTCTCCGCTGACATCCCAGCCCCCTCAGCAGAACCCCTGGACTCTGCAGCAAACTCTACTGCTGTCCGTGGATCCAGGTCCACTGCGAGAAAGACACTCCTAAAGGAAGCTGTCCTCAGACGAAAGAGTGGTCATTCCCCTTCTCTGACCCCAGTGCATCACCACCACTTACCTTCACCGGGTCAGCAGCAGCGACCCGAGCCTGCTCCTCTCGCCGCTCCAGCGTCTCCGTGCACACAGCGTGGGTTGCCCGGAGCTGGGAATCAACACCCCCACTCCTCTCCATGTGTTCAGCAGCGCCCTGGTTCGGACCCATCCCTGGATGAGCCCGCTGGTTCTGGCCATGGACACCGAGCGCCCTCTCCGCGGCCGCGTCCACTCTTAGCCCCGACTACTCTGATTGTTGGAGATTCCATCGTGAGGCACGTCCGCTTTTTTAACGCGGTCACTCACTGCATTACCGGAGCTACTGTCCCAGATCTGCTCATCCGTCTCCCTCCTCTGCTTCACTCCCTGCCCGATACCATATCCAAGGTAATCGTGCATGTGGGTATAAATGATATGAAGCTGCAGCAGTCAGAGGTCACAAAGAAGCACTTTATGGATCTGTTCCGCCTCCTCCAGTCCTCCGGGTTATCCGTTTTTATTTCTGGTCCAGTCCCGACTGTAAACCGGGGTGACTGCCTCTACAGTCGTGTTGTGGCGCTCAACATGTGGCTCCAGTCTACATGCAGCACTTTTAACTTTATTTTTGTGAACAACTTTGGGCTGTTCTGGAAGCGTCACGTGGCCTATCGTCCAGATGGTCTGCACCCGAACAGATACGGCACCAGTTTGTTGACGGACTTCCTACGCCATGTTGTTCAGTGCTCCCCGAGGGGGGCGTGACTGTTTACATCTGAGGCTTCTCGGCCCCCACCACCCCCCTCCTCCTCCTTACCAGCACCGGGTGAGTACTGTGGTGCAAACACTGACCCCTGTCCGTCTGGCAGTGTAACGACAGTCCTGCCACTGAACTGTGCTGACTCAGTTATGCATCTGGAACTTAACAAAGTACAACAGAGTTCACTTTTTAAACCAATAGAGACTGTGTGTGTTCCTCGCACCAGCTCAGAAATGTGTTTTAACTTGAATAAACACAAATTTAAAAGAAGGACAGCAGTTAGACGGTCCAACTCTGGAAATCTAATTCCAGTTCTTTGTAATCAATCAACTAAACCCACTGACACTGATATTAATTTTAACCTTGCTCTACTTAATGTCAGATCACTATGCAACAAATCATTTTTAATTAATAATTTTATCTGTTCGTATGATCTTGATTTTATGTTTATGACTGAAACATGGCTTGACCATAATACAGGAGATGCAGTTTTAATAGAAGCTTCACCACCAAATTTCAAATTTGAATATGAAACACGAGAAAATAAAAGGGGGGGGGGCATAGCAGCAGTTTTTAAAGATCGTATTGTCTCCCATAGAGTGTCTCTTGGGAAATTTTCATCATTTGAGTATGTTTCTTTTAAAATAGAACAAAAGAAATCTTCTTCCATTCTTATTATTGTTGTGTACAAGCCGCCACAGTCATGCCATGGTTTCACTGATCATTTCACTGAGTTGCTTTCAGTTGTGTGCACAGATTTTGATGGTTTAGTCATTATAGGTGATTTCAATATACATGTAGATAATGCTAATGATAGATATGCAATAGAGCTGAGCTCTGTGCTGGAAACCTTTGGTCTCACTCAGCATGTGAGTGGCCCCACCCACAGCAGAGGACACACTCTCGATCTGTTAATTACCAAGGGGGTTAATATTTCAAATGTAAATGTGGTCAATGTTGCTCTGTCTGATCATTTCTGTGTATTTTTTGACATGTGTCTTGATTGTAAACCACCAGCTGAATCTTCGGTTGTTAGAAGAAGACACATAAATGATAATACAGGCGAACTGTTCATGGGGAGGGTAAACTTTGAGAACACGTTGTGTGTTACTGTAGATGAATTACTTGACTCTGTCACCACCACTGTTTTGAATGTTCTGGATACAATTGCTCCTGTAAAGGTTAAAATAGTTACAAACAAGCAAAAAGCGCCATGGACTAAAGCAGACTCGGTCAGGGCACAGAAGAGAGAGTGCCGGAAGGCCGAGCGGAAGTGGCGAAAGTCAAATCTCAAAGTTGACCATGAGATCTTCAAAGATGCGTTGTGCAATTTTAACAGGGAACTACGTAGAACGAGGGAAATGTACTTTTCTGAAACTATTGAAGGCTGTAGCAACAATCTACGTGTTCTGTTTTCAACAGTAAATAGATTGACGAATCCCCCTGTTAAGATGCCATCAGAACTTACTTCCAAATCTAAATGTAATGAGTTTGCTCAGTTCTTTAATGATAAAGTCCAAGGTATCAAAAACGCCATCACCTCCACGATAGAAATAATAATCCAACCGCCAGTGAGGCTTTTTGGGCTGACGCACTTTACACCAGTACAAATTGAAACTGTCCAGGAGATAATCACTAGTCTGAGTTCCTCCACATGCAGCCTGGATGTATTACCTCCTAGATTTCTCAAGTCAGTTCTGAGCAGTCTTTTACCTTCACTTACACAAATAGTTAATATGTCTCTTGAATCTGGAACATTCCCAATGGCCTTGAAAACGGCGGTCATCAGGCCCCTCCTAAAAAAGAGGAGTCTGGAAGCCCTGGCACTCAAAAATTATCGGCCCATTTCAAATCTGCCTTTCATGGGAAAAATTCTAGAAAAAGTTGCCTATAAACAACTTACAGAATTTTTAATAATCAATAACGCTTATGATATGTTCCAGTCAGGGTTTAGACCCCACCACAGCACTGAGACCGCGCTAATAAAGGTAACAAATGACATCAAACTAAACACTGACGCAGGAAAAGTCTCAGTCCTTTTTCTGTTAGATTTAAGTGCTGCTTTTGACACTATTGATCATGGCATCCTCATTCAGAGACTTGAGGACTGGGTTGGTGTTGCTGGCACCGCCCTAAGCTGGTTTAGGTCCTATTTACAAGACAGAAAGTTTTTTGTGGAGATCGAAAACTGTACCTCAGACCACTTGGCCCTGACCTGCGGAGTGCCACAGGGGTCAATCCTGGGTCCTCTTCTGTTTAATATTTACATGTTGCCTCTAGGTCAGTTGATTCACAGTAATAATGTCTCTTATCACAATTACGCTGACGATACTCAGGTCTATGTGTCCCTGACAGCAGGAGAGCATGAACCAGTGGACTCGCTCCTTCACTGTGTCCAGCAAATCGGTGATTGGATGCAAAATAACTTTCTCCAACTAAACACCGACAAAACTGAAATAATTGTTTTCGGACCCCAGAAACAAAGAGAGAGCGTTATTTGTCACCTCCAGGCTCTCTCTCTACAACCCTCAAATCAGGTCAGAAATCTAGGAGTGATAATGGACTCAGACTTAAATTTCAAAAGCCACATAAAATCTGTAACATCAGCAGCTTATTACCACCTAAAAAACATTGCTAAAATTAAAAACATAGTGTCTAAGGCAGACTTGGAGACTCTTATACACGCTTTTGTCTCCAGTCGGTTAGACTATTGCAATGGCTTGTTCACAGGTCTCTCCAAACAGGCTGTAAAACAGCTGCAGTACATTCAACATGCAGCAGCTCGAGTCCTGACCAGAACTAGGAAGTGCGACCACATTAGTCCAGTTCTCAGGTCTCTGCACTGGCTTCCTGTTCCTCAGAGAATAGACTTTAAAGCAGCTTTACTTGTGTACAAGTCTCTCCATGGTCTCGCGCCAAGGTACATCCACGACATGTTTGTGCCATATGAACCGACCCGGACTCTGAGGAGCACAGGGACTGGACTCCTGTTAGTGCCCAGAGTCGGTACTAGACATGGGCAAACTGCATTTCAGATTCATGCGGCTAGAGTCTGGAACCGTCTTCCTGAGAATGTGAGACAGGCGTCTACTCTGGCATCTTTTAAATCTAGGCTCAAAACAATTCTGTTTAGCTGCGCATATACAACTGAATGATTTTATCTTTTCATCTTTGTTTTTATCTTTAATCTTTTTAATGCACTGTGACTATTTATGATTTTAGTCCCATCTGTGATTTTAATGTTTAAAGGTTTTTAATTTTTGTGATTTTATTTTTAATGTTTTTAATATATCTTGTGCTCTTAATGTGTTTGATTTATGCATGATGTGATAGGGGATGTGAAGCGCTTTGCGTTGCCTTGTGTAGGAAAGGCGCTCTACAAATAAACGTTGATTGATTGATTGATACTACTGTTGGTGCTACTACTGTTGGGCTTTTGACAAAGGCAGTGACAGGTGCTCGTGTGTATTTTACTACAAATTGCTGAAGTCCGCCGAAAAACCCCGCGTTCGAAGTGTGTGTTTTGCACTCAGACACTGGAGCTTTCAGTGAAGGCTGAGAGAGACTGAAAAGTGGACGCGGCCACAGCACTGACCGAGCCATATTCATGGTACAAACGGTGGCGCGAGTGTGGAGGGGAGTGTGGTGATCTCAACATGACCACCTATGCTGGACAAGCTATGGAGCAAGGAAAAATATTAACCAATGAGCTTACAGCAGAGGCATCCCGGCCCACCCCATGACTTGCATATCATTAAGAGAAATACGGAAATAAATACAAAAATAAATAAATAAATACAGAAAAAAAAAAAATTGAGAAAAAAATGAATAAAGAGAAATAAATAAAAAAAATGCTAAAATAAATAAATAGAGAAATACGGAAATAAATAGAAAAATAAATAAATAAATACAAACAAAATAAATAAATACAGAAAAAATAAATAAATACAGAAAAAAATAGAGAAATAAATAAATAAATGCAAAAATAGAGAAATAAATAAACAAATACAAAAATAAATACAGAAATAGAGAAATAAATGTATAAATGCAGAAATGAATATATGAATAAATACAAAAATAAATAAATACAGAAATAAATAAATATATAAATAAATAAATGCACTTATTCTCATAATTGCATGCATTTCTTTGCAAATTTTATCTTTTTTAAATTTATTTATTTATTTCTGTATATATTTATTGTTTTGGCAGCCACGGTCCTCCATAGTTTTTCACCAAACACAGAAGTGCCAATAATTGGTCTACCTCAATGTTAACCGTTGCTACTACTGTTGGTACTACTTCTGTTGGTGCTACTTCTGTTGGTGCTACTACTGTTGGTGCTACTGTTGATGCTACTGTTGATGCTACTTCTGTTGGTGCTACTTCTGTTGGTGCTACTTCTGTTGGTGCTACTACTGTTGGTGCTACTACTGTTGGTGCTGTTAGCAGTTATTGCCAGTTCTTTGTGATTTCTGTTTTGGAGGTTGTTGAAGAGGCAAAAAATATTGACCAGTGAGTCAATACAATATAAAAAACACAAATAACTATTGAATATAGATTTATTGGGGTTTTTTAGAAGAAGTTTGTCTTTTTCATGTAGTCTAGTTTATGTATTGGCACAGCATATAAATGTATTATAAGCTAACCCTTTGTCAGAAACACAATTTTGCATAGAGTTGTAAATATTCATGCTTTTCCTGGTCAGACTGTGGTTGTGGGATAAAAGCACTTGTGCTGGGCTGTTGTGGAGGTGAGGGGTATTATTCAGCAGAAGGGGTTAGGGAGGTCACTGAGAGAAAGGGAGGGACAGGGTGAAGACTTGACAACCATCGTCCCCAATACGTCACCCATGGACCCAACTGTGGGAATATACGCAGCTCCAAAAAGCACCACCTCGTCATAAACTGGCTGTCAGTGCATGCACTAATGTTTTAGTGGCCTCAGGCCTGAGCCAAACATGACACAGCCATTCATTCTGCCAAGGCTTTGCAAAGGGCCTGTCCAGTTTGTTAATTCCAGCTTTGCTGAAGCTTGGGTTAACAGATTTATTTATGCTCCAAGGTATGGTCCGTTTGCCAAATATGATGTGAGAATTTATATTGATTAACCGTTATATTGAATTTAATTGAATTTAATTATTTAAAGTGCATTGTTTTAGTTAACTTGTTTACTAACACTAACGGACTCTGTGAAGAGAAGATCTAAAATCACCTTTCATGCTGAGTCAGACCTGTGGGATCAGAGGTGTAGCAGCACATGCCGAGAGGAAGACATCTGGTTCTAAACATAGACTGATTTCAACACATTCTTATTCCGCTCAGCCTAAAAACGGTGTCCATAAATAAAAGCACAGGAGAAAGGTGAGAATGATTGACAGACGGACGGACAGTGGTGTAATGTGTGTGCTCGGCTTTGTCTAATGGGAAAAGAGACAGAGGCCTGTCTTTGCCCAGAGGATTTGAATAGGTCACGGTGATGCCAGCTCTTAGAAGCATTTCAACACATCTGGACACTCTTTCAGCCACACTGCATTCACATCACGCTGGCACTTTAGTCCTCTTTCATTGCTTTGATATGATTTGCATTATCATATATAATACATCAGCAAGTTAAAGCTTGAGTGGGAATTGGAGAACGACTGACGTATCAATCGGCCATTTTTTCAGGACATTTTCATACACTTTTCAAATATCAGCCTCAACTTTTTCTAATCCTGCCCATATGCTACCACTATCAGGACATGCTAAGAAAGACTATCTTCTCAGGAAAACAACCACATCCTCCATTTTACTCAAAACAACAATCCCAAAACGTAATTTATGATAATAAAGAAATACATGTCATGTGATAAAGTAATTATACAAGTAACCGCAAATGCAAAACATTAGCTATAAACAAACCTGTTCTCCTTCTCTTCTTTAAAATAAACCTATTAGAAGGTATTACGTCAAATTCAAATTGTATAGCCCTAAATCACAACAGCATTTGTCTCAGAAGACTTTACAAAGTTTACAGATGAGATGATTCAACATGGATCGCTTTATCGTTCACAGGAGACCAGATACAATTAAACAAAAGAACGCCTTCCCTCCAAACTTCATCCATTCCCTGGATTCCACCCACATGATGCTGACGTCGCTTCACTGCCACAGGTAAATAATATTTTTACAAAAAAGCAAAAATAAATCATAAAACATCTTTCAAACCTTCTGTTTTCAGTGCTGGTCTTACATTTGTGTCCGTTCACGACTGCTACTGGACCCATGCCCTGACTGTGGACATCATGAACAAGGTGCCCATTTCTTCTCATTCAAATCTACAAATAAGTTTGATTTTGCGTATATTCTCCCAAAAATATACGCTTTAATCCAAATATTTACTTTTTCTATTTTGACTTTGTTTGCCTTGCTTACATAAGGCTTCATTAAATCATAATTTCTATTTAGTTCTAAAGGAAGCTTTGTTCCTGTGTGTAATCAAGAGTATATTTTTTGTAATGTGCAAGTAACTTTTGTGGGATGAGTGTAAAATGTGCTTTGTGACGTCTAGTTTCTCTGCCCATGAGCTGTAGGTAGCCCCATTAACAAGCACCCATTGTGCAGAACCTGGCCTTGTCAACCAGCCCAGATGGAGACTCAGCGTTGTATAAAATAGATCAAATTACCATAAAGTCCCAATCTTCAGAAAGATGCAGGCTCCGGGCGCAGACACACTTTTCCTTCAGGTGGTCGTGTGGGGCGCCAGGTGTGCTATTATGATCAATAATTGCATATATATTTTTTTGGTTTGCACATTACAAGCAACATTACAAAGTCACAGTTACGTATTTTGAAAAAGATTGACTGAAATATGGTTATACTGATTTTAAAGAAAAACTAAACCCCTGTGCCCGGCCTTACTCCGCCCACATGAGCATTTGAAAATTCTCTCTATAAAGGGCATTGGGCATTGGACCAGGGGACAAGAGGGGGGGAGGGGGGGAGGGGGGCTTAGAGTTGGGCGTGGTCTTGGGCTGTGATTGACAGCTCGCCACACAGACGGTTTTAGGCTCAAAAGTGAGGGTTCAATCTAATTTGCACTAAAATGTCAAAAAAATGACCCGGACATGTGGAGAGCCCTATGAGAAACATGTTAATGCAGTTTAGGAGTTAAACAAAGGTTGAGTTAAGTTTAGTTGTCCTTCAGTATATGGAATGGTGAACAAAGATATATTTTGAATTTGTTTGACATTTGACATTCAACTTGTATACATTTTATTATGGTAGTGAAGAAGTCAAAACTGAAAACCCAGAAGCTGAATGGGTTATTGATCCTGACAGCGCATCCTTTGCTGTGTGAAGGAGAGGTTTTGCAGGTCTTTTCTTCCTCCCTGCTGTCAGACTGTACAACAAACAATGAGGACTAACAAGCACTCTGACCTGCCGTTCTGACCTCACATGAGATAATGTCAGAATGTGCGATATAGAGCCACATAAGTCACTTTGTCCATACCCTCATGCACCAACATACAGATGTATACCTACAACTATATATTTCTTGCACCAGAATAGAATTTTTCATGTACTCATTAGGCCAGTGTCTCCCAAAGTGGGGTCCGCGGCCCCCTGGTGGGCCGCGTGGGTACTGCAGGGGGGCCGTGGGAGGTCATAAAAAAATAATATAATTATTTAATGTTAAATTTATAATGTTTTGTTTGTAGTATTAAAATATTTGTGTTCATTATTTGACTTGAATAAGCCACTGTAATCATTTTTGTATTACAATGTTTGTAGCAGAGGCTATTTCCCCAAAATAAAATAACCAGAAGAGCATATTCTTAATGTTGTCTTCTTGGTTATTATTTTGGGGGGCCACGCAGACCCGTCAGATTTTTAAGGGGGCCTCGGTGTTACAGAGTTTGGGAATGGCTGCATTAGGCCATAGATTTTATACTTCATTCTTGCTTCTTCATTTAGCTGAAGTTTAAGATTGTATACTTGCTTCTTTAGTTTGATTTTAGTTTTAATAGTACAGGGTTATTGTTCATGTACTTTGTGTTGTGTGCTCCTCATGCTTACTGTTCGATTGATGCAACACTGAACTAGGGGTGGGCGATATGGCCTAAAATTCATATCGCGGTATAATTTGGGTCATAGACGGTAGACGGTATATATCGCGGTATAATTTGGTGTGTGAATTTCAATATAGGTCTAGCAGGTTCTTGCATAAAATAGTCAAGATTGTTAATTATTTATATATTAGAATCTAATATATATATATTTTGAGTTAGAAAATCAGTTGTGAGACAAATAAAGAGACAAATAACATACATTATTTATGTATGTTACAGTAAATACCATTCACTGTAAAAGCAATTTTTAAAAAGAAAAACATATGCATTCATTTAAAATATAAAAAACTCACAAATGTTGAAATCAAAGTCTGTAGGAGTTAGACATGGTCATTAGTTATAGTGTCTGAGAGTTTTGTGCAGGTACTGTACATGACTTCAGTAAAAGCTGTTTGTTTACAAAGCTGGTCTTGCCATTTGTTGACGCTCCCTAAGTGCTTTTCTCTGCGCTGGATGATTCAATGGATTTTATGTTCATTAAAACAGGGCATTGGATTTGAACAATTGATGTAAATGGTCATTTTGGCACAAATAATTTTGTTTAACAAAGTAGCTTTCGTGAGATATTGACCGCGGAGGTCCGAATCTGACGCTAACTTTCCCAAACTTCTGCTGTGATGCTGCGGACACGGCACACGCATGGATCTATTTTGGCTCACGCTGGCGCTTCGAGCCTACGCCCCTTTGACACTGATTGGCCAAAAGGTAGACTCTTAAACTGTGATTACTGTGTGTGTATTTACCTCTGCTGGGGCCGCTGTGACAACAATACATAGACAGAAACACTGTGTTAATGCCGTGCTGTTGTTCGTTGTTTCCAGTGGTGTCCAATAGTGCTAGGCTAATGCTAGGCTAATGTGCTAGGCTAATGCTGCTGAATGCCGGTTTGTTTTGGTCCTTTCTGCTTCCGTCAGAGCCTGCGCAATTTAATGACATAATGACCTATCGCAATATGCCGGTATAACAAAAATCTCTACCGTGGGCCAAATTTATACCGCATACCGCTTATACCGTTTATACCGCCCAGCCCTACACTGAACTTACCCCTCTGTGGGACGAATAGGGAAGGAGTTCTTGATTTAAGCACAATACTTATTGGATTAACTCATACTTCTTTATATAAATTGGCTCAATGTCCCTTAGAGCATGTCTTTTTCACTTGACCAGAGTGAGGGACTGACTGATGGCCTGATGCATCCAGACAAGTCCATATTTAATGATTTTCCAGTGGTTCCTTAACTGTTGAGCAGTGTGCCATGGCCAACATGTGTTCGGCCGGATGTGGGCTGAGCGTCTGGGGACTTTCTGCCGTCAGTTTGACTCTTGGTCCTTCTTTTTGCCTTTTGCCTTGTCAGATCTGTCGGGAGCAGTTTGTGGCACTGCACAGCCAGCCCATCCTCCAAGAGCTGTCCACTTCTCTTCTCCGCAAATACTGTGCAGGTCCCATGTGAGTAAAGAATCATCTTCACAAAACGCATTTGGTCTGAACATTAGCCTTATGGTGAGCGCCTTCACATGTGTAACCATTTAACCTTTTAAAGTTTAGTATAGCCCTAGGCCAACACTAAGAACATGTACAATAAGTGTACATTTAATGAGTGAGTGGAGGACGGTGATTGTCGAAGGGTCCGGAGCAGTCTTTGGTGTCTGGTTTCTATCTGGGCGGCACGTGGCTGAGTGGATAGCACTCTCGCTTCTCAGCAAGAAGGTCCTGGGTTCAAATTCCGGTCGGAGCAGTCTGCGCAGGTTTCCTCCGGGTACTCCGGTTTCCCCTACCACTAAAAACATGTACAATAGGTCTGGCATGCACATCCTGTACTGGCGACCCCCGCTTTCTGTGTGGAGTGAGAGGACAAGTGCCCAAAATAACAATTGTAAACCGCTTTGGGACTCTGGTCTGTGAAAGGCGGTATATAAATAAAGATGACTTACTTACTATCATCACAGTGTGTGAAGTGAAATAACCACTCAGTGTAAAGTGCTTGGTGTGACCTCAAAGATAAGAAATGACTTTTCATGTGTCTTATTATGTTTCTTTTTGTGTCTGAGTGGGTTTCCTCCGGTGCTCCAGTTTCCCCATCACCCAAAACATGCAGCATTATGGATTTGGTGAATGATGATGGTTGTTGGAGGGGGCATTACCTTATATCCATCAGTCCAGCCCTGGGCAGCCCTGGGCAGCCCTGGGCAGCTGTGGCGACTAAAGAGATTTCATCAAGCCCGCAAAGTCTTTATTCTTATCATTTATACCATGGTCTGTGAGAATTCCAACGCTAACTGCCGAGCATTATTTTCATGTATATATACGCACACGTAGTCCGGTAAGTTTATAATCATGCTCTATATCACTCCGCCACAGTTGTTGCCATAGTAACTAACAGCTGGTTCAAATAAACTGTCAGGTGATAAGCCGTAGTGACTAATAGTGCCGGATAACATGGATTTTTAAATGAATTTTACCATTTTTGGACATTATAACTGTATAATGAACGGCTCCTCGTTGTTTAATCCTTACACAACAGATTTGATGTATGCCTTTCCAACACTACCACTACTTAATATCACAGCTAAACTTTTTTCCAGGGTAACCGAGGAAAGCAAATGACTTGGAAGAGAGACAGCAGCCTCTCACACGTCATTACGCTCTCTAAACAGTTGGATATTAAACAATCTCATCAAACATCTTGTATTAGGAGCGCCGGCACTGTAAAAGTTTATTAGCGAAGCCACGGTTTCTCTTTGTCAGACTTCTGAAATGATCGTGTGCAGTAAGCGCTTCATGCGTGCCGCAACCAGCCCCAGGCGGAGTCATGCTCGCCGCACCGTTGTGTTTTTCTCTTCTGAGATAATTGGACACTTTCTCCACACTCTACCTTACAGAACATTCATCTGTGTACGCTCCTGTGGGAAGGACGGCAAGAAAAAGGAAGCTATTTTGGTTTTGTTTACGGTTTCAAAGCACTACTTAAGTTCTTAAAATTGGCAATACAGCTTATATCTGTTAGCTTTGATGCTTAGCTACTGTTAAAGTTTTTGTTATATATATTCATCATCATAATGGACTACATACTTGTGAAACTGTCTTTTAAAAGTCAGCTTGCTTCTGTGGTTCAGCTTTAATGTGAAACTAATATACAACAACATAAACCAGTGAGTTGATGAGGGTGAAGCCGGCCTCACACATGCCCTGAAAAACAGAAAGGGAAGAGTAGCACCAACTAGATCCTAACCAATCTTTGCCTCACAGCTTGTAAAGGGCCCAAACCCAAGTTAACAGAAATGTAAATATTGTATCATCAGATTTATAGCAAACAAAGGCTTGGCATATGCAACTTTTATCTGTCATAAGTCTCTCATACACTCGTTTTGAAACTGTTTTAGTCGATCGATTTCACAGTGACATTTGTTTACTGTTTTATTTCTGTCTTTTAATGTTGTTTTATGTCTGTATTTGTCTGTGCACACTGGAGACTTTTTGCTAACATATTCCAATGTGTTTTTTTTTTTACTGCAAATGGCAAATAAATAAACTGAAACTGAAACTACATTGGTTTCACATTTTAAGTTTAATTACAGAAATAAACACACTTCTAGACAATATTCTAATTTTCAGAGTTTCACCTGTTTATCTACAGCATACACTATCTATGCCCTCTTTCAGACCCATTTATCATTCTTCCATGCATCTATACTCTGCAATGGCTTGAATACTAAGTTGCCATGCACTTCCCAAGGGCTTCTTCCCATTAAAAATCCTATTCATTGGAATGATATGAGCGAGGCCAGCTACAAATAAGCTAGACAATATTTCTAACAATCATTCAAGAAAAAAAGCAATTAAACAATTGTTATTTAATATTCAGCTGCACACAATGAAGACGCATTTGTCTTGTCCTTGAGCATTGATCAACTTTCAACAACAGACCGAACTTGCCTTACCTATTCAGAACAAAGAAGAAAAGGCCCAAGGAGATATAATTCCTAAAAAAAATTATTTTATGCCTAAAATGAAAAGAAACCATTTTTCAGATTCTGATCCTTTTTTCTTTAATTTTTGCTATGCCCTTAGGAGATTAATATCCGTATATGTGATTTTTGCTGATTGTTGCTTGTAAATATCTTTTTGTGAATAATTGCCAAATTAATTACTCATAGTATTTTATTTGGGTTTCCAGTTTCAATAACGAAACACAAGTAATTTAAACCTCAAATCTAAAGTAAGTAAGTAAGTAATCTTTATTTATATACCGCCTTTTCACTGCAGATCTGAGTCTCAAAGCGGTTTACAATTGTTAATTATGGGCATTTATCTCTCACTCCACACAGAGATGGGATCGGGGGTCGCCAGTACAGGAGGCGCATGCCAGACATGCCTATTGGACATATTTTTAGTGGTAGGGGAAACCGGAGTACCCGGAGGAAACCTACGCAGACATGGGGAGAACATGCAAACTCCACTCAGAAAGGCCCTGGTCCAACCGGGATTCGAACCCAGAACCTTCTTGCTGAGAGGCGAGAGTGCTATCCACTCAGCCACCGTGCCGCCCGCTAAACCCTTCATGCATTCACTAAGGCTAGAGCGCCAGATTAAAACAATACGACTGCAGAATGAACAAACTGTTGTGTAGTTTCTAAGTGAACGTTATGTGCCAGGAACCTTTTCTCCTTATCGTATAATTGAACTAAGTCACGAGATGGGCGATAGTAGCTCAGTTGGTAGAGCATTGGCCTTAAGGCCAGAAGGTTGTGGGTTCAATTCCCACCTCTGCACCTTCTCCACCGACTCCCACTGATGACTGCTGTCGTTGTGTCCTTGGGCAAGACACTTAACCCCACTTTGCCCAAAGCCCCCACTGAAAGATCAAGGCTATGCTCACACTCAGAGAGCAGCCGCCCTCCTGTGGACTCACCACCTGCAGAGGATCAGTGAGGGGCTGGTGCTATGAGACTTGGGTGGCATCTCTGACTGCCACCCCCCTGACCCAGAAATGGATTAAAGGGTAGAAAATGGATGGATGGATGGATGTCACGAGATCTTCCCTGCCCCGTCCCTGATTCAGATACTGTTGGAGTTGTACAGAAATGACAAACAGAAACCTCATTATCACTGTACAGTCTGTAAGGTCTCATCTAAGCATCATTTGGAAAGATCATATATGAGATTGTTTTTTTTTTTTTTGCATTTGAAAGTGTTTTGGACCTTTTTGCTGGAGGTGTTTACACTCTGTGAGCAGCTCCACCAACGAGGGTCACTCACTTGTGCTTTCTCTTTTGTGGCAGGACTGAGGCCAAGAACAAGAAGTACCAGGAGTACAGGAGGCTGCTGCTGCTGCTGGCCAAAGTGCCTCACACAGGTTAGTAATGCAGAGGGTCCAAGCGGCGCATGAGAAACACGGGGCCACAGCGAAAACACATGGTCCCTACGATTCTACAGTTTAAGAACAAAGGCCTGGCTTTGGCTGAAGTTCAGGAGTGACAACAACAGGACATGTGTAAGAAGCGAGGAGGATTGTTTTTACAGTAGAAGAGACAGAAGAGCAAAAGTAGAGACTTGGGATCAACTCAGTAACAATAATTGAATTCTGTTTTCACTTCATTGACAGGTGTTGAAAACTAACACTAGCGCCTAAAACAATCCAAACAATGAATCTCGCTTATCCAGTGTTATGGTAACATTCATTATAAATTAGGGCTGTCAAAACGCTTTTCACGCATGTCCAAATGACCCGCCCATGTATCCCATAATATCACTCAGAGCCGTGGACAGATGCGTGTGAGATGGCAACAGAGCAGGTCTCTGGGAATTAAAGTTTTAAAAGAATTCACGTGTGACTGCGGGGCACTTGCAGTTGTTTGCTTTGAACTGAAGTTTGCATCCTCCGTGGCCGCAGCGTTCTGACCCGGGGCAGCTGCGGCCACTCTGGACAGCGGTTGCCACCTCCAGCGGCTGTGAGACGCTAACAACAACACGGCGTGATCCAAGACCATACACGCACACAACTATTCTCTGCATGTTGTGTGCGTGTCTTTGCGTTCCCTGTGCACACAAATACACCGCTGAAGCAAGTAAATCAAGAACACCGAATGAACCTAAAGATTATTCATCTAAATACATTTCCAAATAGCATTTTGATTAATTTAGCATAATTCTTAATATTCTTAAATGTAACTGTTTGTTGGAACCTTCTCTCTGACCACACGTTCACCCTATAATTGCTCCTGGGAGGTTTTGCAGGTGAGTTTGCTCTGCTCTTACATAACCTGTCCATCTGTCCTGCACTGTCTGACAGCTGGCTCCGACAAATTGATTGTTGTTAATTGTGTTCCTCTTTGCATAAGCAGCTTAAGGCGGATGAGGCCAGTCAGGTGTGGACTGGGAGCGTGACTTTGAATATCTCTATTATTCTCCATTCAACACTTTGCTCTCTATCAGAGATCTGCTCCAATCGCCTGAGGGCAAGCTTCCTCTGTTGGACATCTACTTTAGTATTGACTGTTGGGGAAATACTATTTAAAATGCAGGAATTTTTCATAAACGTATTTGTATCAGATTACAAAATACTGCTGTTTGTTGAGGTGCTTCATCTTGTTCTGGGTCATATTTTGCAAAAGAAAAATAGATTGTTGCATCCCAACGAGTAAAGCCATGTGGTGGACTATAAATATGGGCTCTAAGGAGGTAACTTTAGATCTATTGCCAGTTTTCACATGCATGTATTTTTCTGTTACAGCTTTAGATTACATTTAACAGACAGAAAAGTTATAAAGAGAGGAGCCTCCCTCTCTCGATCAGCTCTGAGCCCAAAGAGTCAAATAGTTGGGACTAGTTTTGTTGGGACAAAGAACATGTACTACGCCAGCTTTAAGTGGCTTCTGAATGGGTTAAAAATGAGGCCTTGTCTCAGTAACTGTGGTTGTTCATAGTTTCTTCAGCTTCACGTCTGTTCCCACTATATCTGTAACTTGGGTCTGGGTCACACACTTTTCACACTCTGGCCTTAATAATTCACACTGGTGCTTCTAGTGCACACAGTGGCCCTCACCCAGGAGCTAAAATTAGCATCCCGGCCCTAAAGTTCAACTCTTGTATTCCGGGACTCTGCAAAAAAGGGCTGATTTAAAATCATTTTCAAGGTTTTACAGATGGATAAACACACACAACAGGCACAACATTAAATGAAAGTACTATACTTTGACTTTGACTTTAATCTTGTGGTATGTTATACAAAATACTTGGAGTTTATGATTAATAAAGCAGAATGTTTGCTTCCCACTTCTAACATCAGACGGAAGTGTTTCACATCCGAACTATCTCGTAAAAACCAGAAAGAAATAAGTTTTATTTATTTCTGTTCTTTAAATTATGTCAGGTCTCATTTTCTTAAGTTGTGTGTTCTAATCCGCCAGGTTTAAAAGAGCAATTTGTAAAAAATGTGGCCAAAAGTGGTACTGCAACCTCTCCCATATCTGACTCGGGTTGTCAGATATGCAGACGAATCCAGCTGGGACCAAAACAGCTGAAGAGTTTTGTCAACAACAAACCTTTTTCACAAAGGCTTTGATAGACAGTATGGTTTTATTCCTTGTTTTGTCATTAATGATTTGAGAATCATAACGAGACCTTTAGTACTGCAGCCACATGGTACTTTTCCAATGAGCTCCACGCAGTGAGTTCTGGCAACCCGGATCACGGACTTTCTGATTGTTAAAACGGTGGAGGGGCAGAGGAGGTTTAAGGGTCCTGTTTCTACAACGGTCTAGGATTAAACTGAAATGAATCCCACAGTTTGAGTCGACCATTGAAGTTGAACAGAATCCTTATTTAAACTGATATTGATTGTTCTGAACAGATCCACAGTGTTTACCGTGTGTTTGCGCAGGTGACTTTGATCTGAAGCGGGTGATGGACTCCACCTACTTCTTCAGCTGAGACCCCACACAGAGAAGCAGTCATGGAGATGAGTGATACGGACAAGTGCCACGGGAGATCAGAGGCCCCGGCGGGAGTCTGCTTCGATCCGGGGGCCTGTCCTGGTTCATGGGTGCGCCCCACAGATGCCCACCCACAGAGAACAGAGCCAGAGGTGGGCAGAAGATGAGAGCGGTCAGCTTGGCCAAACTATCCGTCATTACACTCTGTAGTCACACTGTTGTGGCAGACTACTGTTTTATAGTCAGCTGTTACTGGAGTTTTTTTAAAGTCACCAATCAGCCATACTTATCTATTTTTGCTCTACTGGACGCTCGAGGACTAACATTGTCATGATTGGTTGGCCTGCTGTGCCAATGATGACTTTTCCATATACCAGCTGGTCCCAATCAAATAACAAGAGGCGTTTTTACTGCGAGTTATAAGAACCTTGAGTGACATAAGTGACTTGAAAGTGAGTGAATTTTAGCGTTAAAGGACAAATATTGTGCACAATTATTTATTTTTCAGCTTTTAACCATGTTTACAGTGTCCTCATCAGAACTGGACTATAACTAGGGCTAGGTACTGCATCTATTAGCGAATACAGGATCTTTTCAATTCAATACAATATTTCCAAGCAATTCAATGCAGTTCAGTAAAAAATCTTAGGAAGTGCTTTATTTGATACTGAAGATTGTGTGAAAAATCTTCTCCCTCTCATTTTGATCTCAATTACAAAATAACAATCTACATTCAGAAAATGTATATATTTTTTGTTTTATTACACACTGTGATCTCTTGTTCAGAGCCGTAAAAAAAAAAAATTGCCTCCAAATATAGTTTAGAAGGTCACGGGGGAAATGCTCCGACAACTGTGTGCCTTCATTTAGATTATGCCATATTTGATGAATCATTGAGAAGCAGAACGTGGCTTTTGCGTCCCCACACCAGTTGAGAACCATCGACCAATACAGCACACCCATATCATTCTACCTACAAAATGATGTCACATGCTAAAACTAAAAAGCGATCATTCTCAAAATACTTTCAGGGCAAGATATACTAAATTCAACAGTGTATGATATTTGTTCTTTGATTGAATCATGGAAAGTGCCTACTTCACACCGTCCAGGGACAACTTCAGCACTGTACATTTGCCTAAATAAATGCGTTTCCAAAAATGTCTCCTCGTTCATATCTCACAGATGCAGTTGTCTTGCACTTCAATCGCGAGGTTGTTATTTAGTCTTGTCTTTCTGCATATATTCCTAATCCCTGTGTGCGTGCGCTGAGACAAATGGCCCTCTTTTAACACTACCACAAAGACTTGACTAATCAACTGCTATTTTTCTGGGCCATTGTTGCTCCTCGAAGTAAAAATAGTCCCGATCAATTACTGCAGACGAAAGGTATTCAAAGCCACAGAGCTCCAAACAGACAGATGAATGACAATCCAATGAGACTCGAGCACAAAGGCGACTGCTGCGATCGTTAGTCACTATGCTTTTAGAGATTTTTCAGCTCATTGGACTTCTCACTAATCATGTGCAAGCTTTCCTGTATTATGGTTCCTATGAAGTGGAGCAGCACTCTTTAGAGCTGTCAAATCCAAAACATTTCTGTACCAAACTTCAAAACGATGTCCTTCTCGAAATGGAAGTATATCGTACGGCTTTCAGGAGATTTGAAATTACATCGTAAAGCAAGATCCCCCATTATTCATTTAAGAACTGAAGATTGAAAATCACTGTCTCACTTTGGAACACACACAGTTTGACAAGGTGTGTATGTGAATCTGAGGGTAGAGAAAGTGGAACTAGGCTAATACTATACCGAAGAAGGCGTCCCATCTGTGGAAACATGTTGCCCGTCCATGCACTGGGGCTGTGATGATTGGTTGTTTTGATAATTGTTGTTAAGATCCTGAACGGTCTGTAAATGTATTTTTTTGGGTGGGTGGGATTTGAGCAAAACAAAGCTGATGACCCTGTAGATTAGAACATCCTCAAAGAGACGACTTGTTACATTTTGGGTTGTTTGATTAAAAATACTTTGTAAACATATTTTCTATTCATTAAAGTATCATCTGAGTCATAAAAAAAAATTTCAATCAAAGGTCAAAAAAACGATGAATTGGCAACAAAATTAATAAGGTTACAAAATTAGCAACTATTTACGTTTTTTTGTAGCATAGTTTATAAACATATACAAACAAAATAAAAAAGGCATTGAAATCATAAACATAGTCACACAGGGTCTCTCTTTCTCTCTCTCTCGCTCTCTCGCTCTTTCTCACAAAACAAAAAAGAAGGCTCATAATGTGGTAGGATGTGATTATTTATGAGTTTAATGCTTTCTTATTTTGTTCAGCACTTTGAATTGCCTTGTGTATGAATTGGGCTATATAAATAAACTTGCCTTGCCTTGTGGTATGCAGTTTAAGGTAAATGTTCTTCTTGCCTCCGTCTTTGCTCACTCTGTGACAGTGAGAAACAGCCGTCTGCCCCGGAGCCGAGCCATCTGCAGTTTATCTAAGTCTTTGTCTGTTCTCTGTCATTAGAGGTAATACTTTTGTTTTCATTTGGGAAAAGGCCGACTAATGCAGCGTGTTGTCACTTTACCATTCGACCAATTCATTATTTCTTTCTCACTAACTCAAACTATTAAAATATCCTTTTGTTTATTTTCACAGCCTGTAAGGTGTTTATAACATGATTTATAATACAGATACATAGTTTGATTGGTATCGATACATTTTCTTCTGTGCTCTAGAGTATTGCATTGGTAAAACACAAAAGATACTTAAGTAAAGAGACAAACTGGTCTGGAATCTGCAAGAGTACATGACTTATGCATCGCTCCCTACTCTCAAAATGCTTTCATTGTAATCTGTATTGTGAAAGAATTTCAAAGAATATATTTAAATATTTATTGTCATTATAGGTTTTACTTACAAGGGGTGACAGTGGCTCAGTTGGTAGAGCATTGGCCTTAGAGCCTGAAGGTCATGGGTTCAAGGCCACCACAAGACCTACTTCACGACTCCCGCTGATGACTGCTGTCGCTGTGTCCTTGGGCAAGACGCCCCCTGACTCACCCCCTGCAGGAGGATCAGTGAGGGGCTGGTGCTCTGACTGCCACCCCCCCAACCCAGAAATGGATTAAGGGGAAGATGATGGATGGATGGAGGTTTTACTTTTCAAATAAAATTAAGAGACTGTATAAAGGCTACAGGACTCTGAATCGAGTCACAGGCCTTTCAATTGATCTAAGTATTTACTGACTGATAATAAACCAGAATAATAATAATATTGCATTGGTTTTATTAAATGCTTTTTGGACACTCCTTTTTTCACGCGATACACGGTGGTGATAAACTACTGTAGCCAGAGGTTATAATGTTTGAAAGTTGGGTATCCCAGCTTTAACTTTCCATGCTGAAAACAACACTGTTCTATGTGAAATCATGAGCCACCAAAAAGGAACACGCCGCTGCTTATCGGCCCAGGATGCCAGAGCTGATAGGCGCCACTCAACATGCCTTGAGTGAGACTGCTTTGATTCAGTTGCCAATCTGGCGCCCTGTGGTATCTGCAGGAGGGAGGAGGGGTTACACAGATTAAAAGTAAGGTTCCAGGGGTGAGTCGCCAGTGAGATTGGAGTATTAGTGGCTATCAGACGACATATCAAGAGGACAAGCGGGTTACACCTCATGCTGTCAAATGGATTAGTTTACTTTCTTTTCCAACTCTGCTGCAAGAGGCGCCAGACTTGGGAGATATTGAAGGAGAGATCTGATTAAGCCTTCAATCCAGCTGTTCTGTTCAAGAGCATGATCTGATCTGAAATAAAAGAAAGAAACTAAGTCTTTGTGCGATTTGCAATTCACTGAACACACGTTTTCTGCTCCATTAACGCATTATTGTAGCTTCACTGTCTATAATTTCAGACATCAAGCATCCTGCCACTGACGATTCCTTAACTCAGATTACCATGTTTTCTTTCTAAATGCATCACGGTGAAACGATTCCTTCCACTTCAGTTTCATCAGACCACAAGATATGTCTCTAAATACATATCTCTACCGAAAGTAGCTCAGTTGGAAGAGCATTGGCCTTGGAGCCAGAAGGATGTGGGTTCGAGCCCACCTCAAGAGTTTCACCATCGACTCCCACTGATGACTGCTGTCGTTGTGTCCTTGGGCAACACACTTAACCTCTGGGAACACCAGCCACAGTGGGGCGGCTGCGGCTGTAAAGTGCCAAACTGCCGTTGTGTCCTTAGGCAAGACACTTCACCCCCATTGCCTAGAATGAGTCTGGTGTGTGTGTGAATGGTTGGTGGTGGTGGGAGGGGCCGATGGCACAGACTGGTGGCCTCGCTTCTGTCAGTGTGCCCCAGGGCAGCTGTGGCTACAGTAGATGTTTATCACCACCGTGTATGGAGTGAATGAATAATGACATTTATTAAATGACTTGGATCGTACGCGCGCTCTGATTGGTTGATTTGCGGTCTGATATTTTCCCATCTCGGACCGTTACCATGACAATTGGTCCGCAGCACGTATCCGATTTGATATTCCTTGGTAAGAAAAGAATGAGCGGAGACTTCGAAGAGCCAGATGTAGTAATAAGATTAGATCGTTACAGACCAGAAAGCTAAAAACACGATTAGGAAAACCAAGTTGGAGATCAATATTTGCATAAATTAAAAATAGTCATATAATAAAACACATCTTTGAGTGTCCAAAAAAGCGCTATATATATATATATATATATATAACCGATGTATTATTATTCTACGCCATGGTGCTACGTCCCTTAGGACTTCGCTAGTGGGATATCACGTGACCCCCAGGTCACACGCCAGAGAGATCAAAATAATTTGCTCCAATCACCAGCCACCCTCCTCTATAAATGCCCCTGCACAAGGCCGCACCCCCTCTTTCACTCTGGCGCCGTTTGAGATCTACCACAGTACTTACTTCATTCTGAGATGTCTTCCTTGTTCGTCCGAGT